CAGGCCATGTTCTCATTGGTCCAACCCTGGGTTGCATTTCCATCTCTGAACTAATCAATTGCTGTGAACACAAACACACAATCAGATCTACTTGTGATATACTTACACGGGGATATAGTCAAACTATCTGGAAAACATGAGCTGAGAGGATTAAAGGATGGTTCATCAGAGAAAAAGTGGGGTGTTAACCAGAAGAAAAGTTGATGTGTGCTGCTCAGCAAAAACAACTGATGTCTTATTTCTTTTGCAGTGTTGAGTGGGTTGTTCATAAGGTCATTCGGATTGGTAGCAGAGTCCTGGATAAAAAGGAATCCATAAAGCCAGGCTTTGATGAAAAAGGAGGCATGGCCTTGCTCAGTGACTTCATGTGTAACACAGAACTTGCAGTGTTAGCACTGATACCTTTTGATAACTCTTCAGACTGAAAGATGCTTACAGGGAATAGATTTTGCTTCCCTGGTACCTGTTAGTGGGCCTGATACTCTATACATGCTTTTGGATGGATGGATGGATGGATGGATGGATGGATGGATGGATGGATGGGCGGATGGATGGATAGGTGGGTGGATGGATGGATGAATAGATGGGTGGGTGGGTGGGAGGACGGATAGATGAATGGTTGGGTAGATAGGTATATGGATAGATGAATGGATTGATAGATGGGTAGAGGATGAAGGAGTGAATGGAAAAATGGACCATTAAGGTTGAAAATAGACAGAAATAGGCTCACGGTTTTGGGTAGAAATGTTCAACAACCAAATACCTTCTTAAAATACACCACTTCTATTCAGTTACTTCAGAAATGGAGTGCTGTAAAAACAGCATGGATTCTGTAGTCATACCAGCTTAGCTACCTGGCTCTGTGTGACCTGGTGCAAGTCATCTATCTACCCTGAGTCTCAGTTTCCTCATCTATAAGATTGGGCAATGTTAGGGTGCCACCTCTAAGGGAAGATGCCAATGAAACAATTTCCCAAGGAGACTCATGGATCCAAACTGGCATTCATTATTTTGATTAATTTACTATGGATAGGGCTTAGATCTCAGCCTGACAATAAAAAAAAAAAAA